CGCAAGCACTGTTAGCGACCGGACATAGCTCCTATCCCAGATCACAAAGACGCGCAGGGCAGAGAAGACTAACATGTGGAAGTCAGTAAGTATTTCAAACCAGAGTAGAATGCATGAGGCGTACCTGCTGTCTGAGCGAACCCAACAAGGCCGAGTGCGGTGATCAGGATGTTAATCGGCTTGCAGCTTTGTGTCGGGATTTGATGAGCTTTCTGTTACGCATAAGCTCCAAAAAGACTGTGCTTACTCCTGTGAGAAGTGATGTTTCAGTTTCTGCGTAGCCAAACATATCCAAAGCTTACATTTGGAGTTGTGGGGTAAATTCGCGTGATAGCCGAGAGGAGCATACACCACCTAATCGAGCCAAGGAGCATGGCCGACGCGGTAATAGGTCTCTTCTAGATAGTGCTAATTTCATTATCGACGGTGATCAGGAACTCGTAAATGACGAGGGCCAAAGGACAGGTATGGTGAGTAGCCCTCTGGAAGGCGAAGAATGTACTTGCACGAGACAGTTATGTTGGTATATCCTTGTACGCGGCTAAATGACGAAAGAGTGAGAATTAAGTCGTCAAGTTGGAACAGAGGTAATGCTCACAGTTGCTGGTAGGCTTGGGCAAGAGCCTGGTCTGACTGTCCCGACATAGTGAACGGGGGGGATACAGGAAGGCGAGCTGTGACAAGCGTAAGCTATCGCTCGCACGGCCGATTTATGAACAATTTGGCCGGTCAACTGTCAGCGTATCGCAGCACCTGCCAAACAGTACTTCCATTGCCAACGCGCCACATTGACAGATCACATGGCACAGGAAGATTGAGTTGGATGTATCACGTACGGTAGAAGTAAATGCAATGATACTGGTGTTCCGAGATCTGTGTGAAAGAGAACAAACCTCAGAGGTGTCCGCTCTGAGGGCCTAAATGCAGCCCCGACATTGAGAGAATGGCGATGCAGTGTCAGGTATTATGACTATCTGGGCCACGGCTATGAGCAAAGCGCAGGTAATAGTGTCGACGCTCGGCAGGTGCGCGAGAAAGGCATTATCAACTTCTTCGAACAGTGGGATGCTCTATTTTACGACGATGTTACGTCTCCTCAATTTGCATCATCCGGGAGTGGTGTATGCAGCAGGAGTAGTGTTCCAAGGGCAGTTGAGTCTAGCATGCGACCTGGAATGATGGTTCAAGATGAGCAGGTTACGTAGTGTTCTAACAAGAAGCTGAAGTTTTGCGGGTGCTGTTAGATCCCAGCCGCCTTCTTGACGACAACGAACAGCGGTCAGTGTACGGGGCGATACCAAGATGATGCCTTGTTGTTGATGGAGGCGGCATTGCTGGTCGCTATAAGCCCCTTTGGTAAAGCCAGGACGTCCATTGCTCTGTTAGGGATCATACGCTGATAGAGGCGAACAATTAGATAAGGATCGGAGTGTAGACTCAACTCAACTGCCCGTGCCACGCCTGAGAAATTCGGGACGAACACGTTGCCTGAGGAAACATTAATCACACTCGTGAGAGTAAGTATTTGAATCAAGTCTTACTGAGCACACACAGACAGCTCGAGCAATATGCACATACATTATATCGTTTCAGTCGGCGTGCAATAGGCGCTACTGGCGAATGAAACATCAAGCCACCAAGGCCATTTGGCGCGCCTCGCCGAGGCATGGGTAGAACCAGACATTGCTCGCTGCGGCGCTGCTGGGCAACCAACTGGATCCAGACTTTTCATTCTCGTAACGGAACATTGGCAGGATGCTTTACCAGAATATGTATTTTTGGGTGTAGTCAACATGTCTCTCAACCAGCTGCCAGCGTCCTTCCCCTACGTGTACGTGTGATGGCCATCTGCGCACAGTACAGTACCTTCTAGAATGAAGACGATGGCGATCTTAATATCCGGCGGCTGATGGTGGAATCTAGGGCACTGGTAGCGATGTGGGGCCTGGGCGAGGTATACAGTAAGGGCTGCACACTGGCTGCGCCTGTGATCGATGTGATCTCTGGCGCAGACGTCTCAGATCCCAGGCGCACGAGCTCGGAAAGTGCCGCCTCGTGGTCCGCCGGTCGTCGGGCTACCATCAAAGCGCTGACTGATGGAAGCGATGTCGTGCCAAATTGGGTGTATAGATTCCGAGTCGCGTACTAAGCCAGACGTGACTACATGCACTCGCCCACTCTCATCAGCTCTGAACGTATCGTTTGCGTATATAAATGATTGTTACGGTATCAGTGTCCTGAGAAGGTTACTCTGGGCCGTCTACGCTTTTTACAGTCTCGTCGACATGCTTCGTGCTCTTGTAGAGGAGGCTCTGCACAGGCCTACTGGCGACACTATGCCTGTTGCTCCACCGTAAACCATATGCTGACGGAACCGAAACAGGCAGATGATGCTCAGACTAAACAGGAATTAATTCAGCTCAACTGCGGTCGCTCCTTAGTTGAACGTCTTTCGAGGCATAAACATGAGTCTACCTGAAGCAGAGAGCTGGCGACTGGTGGAAGCAAACTAGTATCAGCAGCCCTGGAGATAGAAAAAAGAACTGATAGTGCGACGACCTTGTTGGGAGCCGAGCGAAGATCTACTCCGCTATCTCCGCTGTAACAGTCGCATCAGCTTTGAATGTTTATTCTCAGTGCGACGATTATTGTCATGATAGATGTCCAAGCATATTTGGCATGATGTACACAAAGGCGCGGTCCAGGAACTGGAATATTCCATGCGAGGTGACTCCTGACGGAAGATACCGAATGTGCCTAGGGCTAAATGCGGCGGGCGATAAGTATTATCGCCTCCCTGAGGACTTATTGGCGGGGACTTACTGATTTACATCTTGGCACTTAGGCTTGAAAGCTTTAAATACTGACCTGTCCGATGCCTCTCGAGTACCTGCGTGGGGTGTCAGGGATGTAATCCGTCTTACGCGAAGCTATCCCTGAATGCGAGGCCTTCATTTCGCCTTGCTTGCATCGTCGCTCTTGCGAGCTATTCTGCAATGAAACGAATGCTACGCAAGCATTCACGGTGCTGTGGTGGGTATTCTGATCAAGTGTTATAGAGCGCGGACAGCTTCGAGCAGTATGAACGTGAATACTCAGTTTCTGTTTTTGTCAGCGTGGAGCAAGACGTCCATTTGTTGGCTGATGGAGATTTCCGCGTGGCGATTGGTCGATGCGCCATAGTGATGGAATCAATTTGATGCGCTCCTCCCCTTGTCCTCATGCACCGTCACTCGTGGCTTGAGTCACTCAAGCACTTTCATCGACATTGTTTCTCATGCCATGTGAATATCCGTTAGAGGAGAAGTAGCCGCTGCCAACGGGTCTGAAGATGCCGGGATCTACTGCAGCGCCAGGAGGAACGAAGCCAGGGTAGCAGTCGCTGGAGGGGTTGTCCATATCAGGGAATGCTTCAGGCTCACTGCCCTCAAAAGCGGACACAAAACAGGGGCCACGCACGGCAGGAGAAAAGGCAGAGCCAGCGCTGGACGTGCTGGGAACTGCTGGACACAGTACTTGTCCATGGTCAGCGTCTCCAGACGGCTTTCAGCGCTCCAGCGCTTCCCGACAGCGCTCGGATGAATCAACTGGGGCCTCAATGTATAACCGCCGTTGCGCCCGGCTTTGTAGTCCTGTACAAGAAACTTCGAGGGAAGTCCGGCTCATATCTCCAGGCCTGAGGTGAGACGACAACAGCCAGCCCTGTCTCATGAGGCAAAATCCTTCTTCCAACAGGCACACAGAGTTGTTGATAAATAGTGTGAGCAATGGTCCACCCACGATCCAGCTTACCCTCTCCCATCTTCATTGACTATGTCTGCAGCGTCGGATCAGGCTCTCATAGAACTCTACGCGCAAACGTAAGCAGCTTTGCATAATCGGAAAACTAGTGTTCTGATCTTCATCTTTCAGTATTACGAAGCAGACCGCTACCCTCGCCTGTGGCGGCGAGTTTGCTTTTGCATTTACGCGGCAACTACTAATTATTGCACCCCAGCCCTTGTACTCTACGAGTTCTTTATCACTCTGGGCGATGAGATTCGCCTCGTTTGGAAGAAGCCCGTCACTGTGTCCGCTGTTCTCCTCGGTTTGGTACGATGGTGCATGCTCCCCACAGTGGCCATTATACTCTCACCCATACCATCAACTGAGACTGTGAGTCTCAAAATTCCGAATCTTCAGCTATGTGATGTAGTAAACTGTGCTCCCACAGGAGTATGTTATTTGAAATCCTACGAGCAACCAAAGTCACAGAAGCCTATCACACAGCTGCAGACCAATAATTATTATGTCAGACATATTGTCCATTGTCGGGTTCGCTCTGACGGCCGGTGAGCACTAAGCATCTGATAGAATCACAGGTGCTCTCTGACTTCTACACACTAGTCTTCTCCAGCCTGCGCGTCTTCGCGATATGCAACAGGAGCCATTTCTTGTCACTGTCTGTGTTCGCACTGAGCATGGTTCCATTCGTGTTAAACCTGGTGCGTGTCGCCTCTGCTAGAGGTCCGTGTGACCGTAATTAGCGATTGACGCTTGTGTGTAGGTGAACTTTACCAAATCGCAATATATGTCTATCTCGGCACCCTTTTTTGGCATAGAGTGCGTCGGGGAGACATCCTTATCTGCGCGAACACTCACCATGTACATACACATCTCTCTGCTGTCGTTTCGCGATACTAAAGTTTTACCATACAGATGTAAGCCACATCGTCAAAGCATTTCGATATGCTTGGGACACTAACGCCCACATACTCACAGTCGTGTGGACTATCCGTGTCTCACTCGTCCTCGCCGACGCGATTGTGCTAATTTCGACCTGGACTCGGACATTCGGACACTGGAGGCAAGCACGGCGTGCGGACGTCTCGGTGTCGCTGACGGCATGCTTGCTGCGCGATGGTCAGTGCCTCTCCATGTACCATCGCACTCTCCATTGCTGAAATTCAGCTCCCCACGCAGGAACTGTCTATTTTGTGTGAGTGCAACAAGAAAGTCACTCGTCCAACGGGATCGCTTACAGGATAAAACAATTTTAGAATCCTTTTAGCGATAAATATCACCCAGCTGGCGACCGTCAATACTACTGCGGTATGTCTCTGAAATGAGCACGTGGGCCGGCGGCTGACGTTGTGAGCAAGGACGTGGCCCCCCTGACCCCGTTCATCACTATCGTGGTTTGTCCCCATTTTCTCTTCATCCTTTAATATCAGTACTCATGAGCTGGGTACGCAGCCCCTAGTACTCATCAATCGCTTCATGATCAACCTACGTACGGTCGACACAGATCAATCAGAGACCTCTGATAAAAGCAGCTTGGATCATGGGTTGTCGACGCCGCACTTTAGAAGGTCGACGGATTTCTTGGGGAATCTTGGTGAGACGCTGCATGATGGCTGGGATGGCAACCTTCAGGGGGACAGCCTGTCAGGAGGGGATGATGCATATTCTGGCGAGAGCTACGCGCTAAGCGAAAGGGCTGTACACATGGAGTAATGCTGGACTGATTTTGACCGTATCATTTCGAGGCCAAAGTATACCCTCGAGCCGTACTCTGACACTTATCGTATGCGTAAGTGTCAGTGGGAACTTGTAGAATTATAACACCACGAACATATACATATCCTGTAGTTTCTTTTTCTTGGATGTAAGGTATGCCTCATGCAAAATCGACCACTCCACGTGGACGTGACCCGCCGGTGACTAGTGTCAGACGTCTAGCATTGCTCTGCAGCGCTAACTGCGCTAAACGTCACGGAAACGCAAGGAATGCGATGAAAACTTTTGATTAACGCCCGGCACTTTTCCAGACAAGCTTAATCCTGTCATTCACCTGCAGCCCGTCGACCAATTCCTTACCTTCGCTGTCCTCTGCAGCCCAAAGTGGACGGAGTTCCCGGTCGTCCCCGACTTCCTCAGGAGCGAGCTTACACCTGACGGACTCGGACCTTATAAGCATGTAAGCGGACTGTCGCTCCTCCTTGCTATCCCACTCACATCGTTCATGCACAGTTCTGGGAGTTCGTCCCGAAGAATGACTAGGTCATGCCAAAGCTACCTTTGCGCATTGGTCTTGCAACCATGCTTTCATCCGATGTAACACAAAACCTTTGGGTTGCTAAATATATATTTCCGTATCGTGATACTTGTGATGTTTATAAATGTACTAGATATGAAACAACGTTGGCGGGCAGGCGTAACATTATCGTTTCTGGTGAACGTTCAACCTAACCACCTTCTAGATTGAGAACGACAGCCTTCTCCGCCGGTGTCAGCATCTATAACATCACTGCAGCCTCGGCATGAGTACCAGTCGAAAGGTAGCGGGCAGCCAAGCGCTCACTCGCTCCTTGTCTCTACCTCATCCGTGGGCTCCCATACCTGCTCGTAGCCGGGCACGGCGCCGGGCGCACCCATCCACCATTGCGTCTGGCAGCACGGCTCGTGAGGCCAGGACAGGCACGCGAGGGCCAGTTGAACCCACGGCGGATGTCTATCCGCGTGAAGTTGAAGAGCATGAGAAGCGAATTGCTATAGACATTCGTGAGGGTCACTCTTCACGAGCACGGTCTCGCATTCAGAGACTTCCGCGAGCCGAGCGTGCTGCTGTGTACCGACGGGGCAGTATCCGTCAACTTTGATTAGTGCAGCAAGGACGGCGTGGCGCGGTACCTGAGCGACGTCCAGATGGGCGAGGAGGTGCCTTGGAATACAAGCGTGCAGGGTGGAGGCCTGATCACCGAGAAACATGACAAGTACTCCCTTGAGAAGCTTGTTGGCCCGTTTGAGCAGTATGGGATGCCGCCGGGCAATGCTGTGGCATGTTCAAGACCGCCTTTTTGGTAGCCTTTTGTTATTTTATGTCAGTCCTTGGGGACTCGGGCTGACTCGGTTATCGCTTTCATTCCTGAATGCGAGTGTCACGGAATCCGCTCGCAGACGCAGATCTTGGGACAGGTGCTCTGTTTTTCATCGCGCCTGGTCGGCGCGAGAGCTTTCCGGTGAGTGTCGTTATGAGACGCCAGGCTGTTGGAGGTTGATACTCTCATATAGTCAATGGATCCCATAAAAATGCTATATATACAAGATGAAAATGTCACCAATGAATATTTGACCCAGTTAGCGAGATCGAAAACGACGGCGTTCTCCCCCGGACTCGAGGTCTGCACCGCTCAAGAGCGGCGTGAGCATCGATCGAAAGGCGACAGACAGCTGAGTACTCACTCGCCCCTTCATCTCCATCCCGCCCGTGTACCCACACCTGCTCGTGGACATGCACGCCGCCGAAGCTTGACATAGTCGTCACGCCGCCGGGCGCGCCCAAGCTCACTACTGCGGCCGCAGCATGACCTGCGGAACGCACGCTAGCACGGGCCGGGGCTCCAGTATGGAAATACGAGGTCCAATTGCGCCCGCCGCGGATGTGCATCCGCGTGTTAAAGGGCACGAAGAGCGAGTTGCTGTATGGATCGCGCCGATGCGCGCGTAATAGGCGCGCGAGGGTAGCGCGACGTAGAGGGCGACGACGAGAATAGCGGACAGCGCTGCAGAAGGCGGGTCTGCCCGAATGAGACGTGCGTACGAACATGCTAGATGAAAGGCTCACAGGTTAGGACACCAGTTCTGATTACGAGGTGGACGATCCGAGTGATAATTGCGCGGGTCTCCGGGATGTGAGTGCCCCTGTACGTAAGTTAGAGGCACAATCAGTACCAAAACTACTTCATAACGAAGGATAGACATTCGAACCAGGTATGCCATCGTTACTGAGATCACGGCGTCGCATACCGCGCTGCCGCCCAGCGATATCTGGCGATGTAAAGAGTCAGTGTCTTACATTGTGATCAGAAACAGAGACTTACAATCGTGACCGAGTGCGCTCTAGCTTCAAGACCCATAAATGCACCAATGACAGTCTCTGTCTCTGTCCGTCTGTTTATAATCGAGCGTGCGCCTAATGGATGTTACTGTAACCAGTGCACCGCTCACTCCCTGAAGCCCGCGGAGGAGCCGCTGCAGAAGGATGCCGCGTCTTCTGCCGCCAGAGCTCCCCTCCCCCCGAAGATCCTTAGGACGCAAGATGTCCGTCAGACACGTTAGATCGTGGCTGGGCTCAGCAGAGCGTCTCTCTACGCTTGGCTGTACATTGAGGACATTGCTAGGAACGACACAGCTTGGTGATGCTCCCTGGGCATGTTTGAAGCAGCGTAAGCTGAGGGCTTGCTTGTTTTCCCGCCAAGGTGCTCGGTCTTAACCTAGTCCTTGTGCGTAGACATATGGCACCATATCGCCAGCTTGCAACTTTGGTATTTGGTTCAGACGCTGTATATTTGCAGGCGGTTGCTGTTGTCGGAGAGTTTGGTGGGGTATGGCCGACAATCTCCAAACTGTGACTGGTGGACGGGACTAAAGCTATGAGCTGCGCTCGGAGGTTTCTGTTGACTTTCGTAGAAGTATAACGTGCAGCTGCTGCTCTGTCTACCACGCATGGAAATAGAACAGAGTCATCATTCACCTCCGCAGCTGGCTTCAACGGTGCCCAGCGGCTGCGTGACGCCGGCGGAGGGTTAGTATAGTCGGCCTGCTGGCCGAACGCCACGATCCTCTCGGCACAGCGCAAACACACGGCGGCCGCTCGCCCTCGTCGGATCCGCGGCTCGATCTTCGAAAGGTGGACCTGGCGGACAGTTTGCCCGACGTCAAGTGCTTATGCGCGCAGCATGCCGAGTGCAGAGGTGCCGAAGCGCTCTGCTGCAGGGGACCTGCGTGTCAAGCCTGAGCCTTCTTACCATCCACGTCAGGCCCTTTCCATGTTCCGCTCACTCGCGTCCAGATCAAATGTTATGGCTACACGTAGCGATTATTGAGTGTTGTGTGAGAATTAGCAATACAGCATTAGCAGCACATAGCGTTGAGTCGTCGAGTCATGTCATTCATGTCGAAAGCGTTTGCATCTCCACACCCCCTTCTCCGTTACTAACCCATTCCAGCTCATGATCCTTGCGAAAGCCAGTGATGACTAGGCGATGACGCCGAAGACGGCGTGCGGCGCGTGCCGCCAGTCCGTCTCAAGGTCGTGTTGGTGGGTCTGGACCGCTTCGACGGACGTGTACGTGTGCCAGCCCCAGGCGCCGTGACCGTGGCCGTTGCGCTTCCGCCGCACCTCGACGTCCGCCGTCTGGAGTACGACGGCGGGGAGCTGTGGTGTCTTCTTGCCCTGGCGGCCGGTGCGGCGGCGGCGCTGAGCGGGCTTGTCTGCCTGCGCAGTAACGGTGTAGGTCGTGAGGTCGCGCAGCGATGCGAGCTTCTCGGGGGCGAGTTCCGCAGGGGCCGAGGACAGGCTGAGAAGGGTGTGGATAGAGTACGTGTTGGGAAGCGGAGTGCGCTTGGGTATCGTTGATTGCTTGGGTATATCGGCAATGCTGTTGCTGCCGTTGTTGTTGTCATGTGGATCTATAGAGCGTCAGCTTCTGGGAATGAAAGTAAATATGAAAAGTCCACTCACGATCTGGGACAGACGCATTGGAAGGGGTCTTCCTGTGCTGCCTCTTGCTGCGGAAGGCAGCGGTCGGCGCCTTAGAGGGCTTGTGCTCGCGCCAGGACTCTGACGTGCCAGACGGCGTCGGGGAAATCGACCGCGACGTGGGCGAGGCGGGTGAGGCATTGATGTCGCGCCGCTTGTGGACCGGGACGTAGACACCGGAGTGGCTTCCCGAAGAGGAGAGGGACGAGGAGGATGCGGTGCGGGGGATGGCAATGGGGCTCGACATCGCGAAGACGGTCAGATTTCAAGTGCTAGCTTGGTTGCGGATGCGAGGGTTTGCTACGAGAGCAGACAACTTGATACGACGGCTTCGACCTGGGGAGAGGTGGTGGCAGATTAGACTGGTCTTATAGGGAGGGCCTGCGGAAGTGCCACGCTGGCGCGGACATGTCGGTGCGCGCAGGCGTAGTGGGACGGCTGAGCAAGTGCTTGTCAGCCCGAGCTGCGTCGAGGGCCCGCGAGAATGTCAGCGAACCTGCCCGATTGCGCTAATCTGGTGGGCGACGTGTCCGAATCGTGTCCGGACGAGACTGGCGCGCGCGGCACACTCCCGAGACGCCCAAGATGAGTAGACCGGAAGACCCGGAGAGCTCGGAATCTATAACTTCGTCATCCCCTTGCTCTCTAATGCAGCTGACAATGCAGCTCTCACGAGGACACCGACGCCAACTTCATCACGCTATGTGAAACTATGTGGACATGTCAGGGATCTACGATAGAGCAGTGCACTACTACAGCCGACTGAACCTCATGATGTAGAGGTGTATCTGCCCCCTCAGCAGTCCTGCACCCTAAGACGTGCGAGACTTTGAGCAGCTCAGCAGTGTGCAAACTACAGTGGCGGGCACGGCACTCCTGCATCCATTTTTCCCAGGGTGACACCAAGGCGGCACCTTCGAACGCCAGCGTGCAAGCCGATAGGCCGATGTCAAGGTTTATTAGATGAGGAGCCGAAAACTGCGGCACACTGTGACCTTGAGCGGCGGAGGAAGATCCACGGCACAGGTTGTCAGCACAGCAAGTTGAACGGACGCCACATGCCAGGTGTCAGAGCCCGCGCAGAGAAGCCGCGTACCTTGGTCCGCGTCCACACCTTAACAACGGTCAAGTTACTTACTTGTAACGAAAGCAAGAGCGGTGACGTGTTATCCAGAGCAATTAAGTAGCGAACATGGCGTCGTTATACGATACGAATTTTGGGCAGCGAGAAAAGAAGCCGTCGTCGTTAGCCTTTTAGGCCTCGACGAACTTCTTTACATTCTGAAGCCAGCTGACGTACTCCTGCTCGCTACGTCAGCAAAGCGGAACACAAGCTGCACATAAGAAGCACGCACTTTCTGCTCCTTGTACTCAGAGTACTCCGGAATGAAGACAGCAAGAGCATCGTTGATGCCACGTTCCTGCAGGAACTTTTCAAACTCCTCCTGCACAGAAACGTCGAGCGTGTCGAACTAAAAGATCGTTCAGCATGACCTCCCCACCATGGTCTGCGGGTGCCAACGAGGCACTCACCTGCGGGCCAATAAACAGGCCGCGACGCTTCCAGTCCGCCTCAGCGGTCAGCTCAGTGCCAACCTGCGCATCGGCGTAGAACGAGATGTTGTCGGTGACGAAGCTCCCGTCCTGGCACATCGCGTCAATTGTCAGCGCACCCGGTACGGAGTCTTTCGTGATCGCGAATGAACACCGGATCGGGTACGAATGCGTGGGCTGGTCCTCAGACGTCTCCTCGCCTTCCTCGAGTTCCTCAAACTCGGCCTCCTCCTGGGCCTGGATGTCGGCGATGGAGAACATCAGACGGATGCTGCAAGATTTGTGTCAGCTTTCGCGGACGTCTTCCAGTGAATCCAGGGACGTACGTCTCGTTGCCAAACTTGCGAGCCAGTGTGACCTCGTCGTTCCCAGCGACATCCTCAACCTACACCGAGATGAGAACACGTTCCGCTCGACAGCATCACAGCTCGACGCACCTTCCAGACACCCTGCTCCTTGAAGTTCTTCAAAAAGTCAGGCTCAGCAGACGACGCAGCCTCTTTCTCGTATTGCAGCTCCTCCGTGAGCTTTTGTGAGAGCGTCACATCGGCTGCGGCAGCACTCGTTCAGCACACGCTTTGCCGCAAGCAGACAGAGACAAAAGTACTTACTAGCACCTTCACCAAATCTCCTCGCTGAGACAGAGAATGCTCGGGACGCAGGCGCGGCGACGGACGTGCGGAACGCAGGGAGCGCAGCACGTGCGAACGTGTGCGCGCTGCCACGGGCAGCGAGCATGCGGCTAGAGGGGCCGGCAACCTGGCGGAGAGCACGAATAGCAGACATTGTCGTCGTTGTCGTGTACGGTGGCGAAGAACGATGAAAAAGTGAAAAAGTGAGGAAAAGGTTGGACTTTCGGGTGGAGAACGCGGCTCGCTTTCGTAGGAGCGGCGCTAAGCAGAAATTTCCAGAGGCGATATTTGATTCGGACAAATATCACGCGTCACGTGTGCTACGGCGTTCGTGCGCGCGTACGACTACGCGCCCTTCGTACTACACTTTGCTGCCGGCTGGTGCTTATCTGGCTAACGAGAAACCTTTAGTAAATTTATTTCTGCTAATAGCACGATACTGTGTCGATTTATTACGCAATTCAATTTAGCGACGCGGAGCGTACACACGACGTAAGTTTCGAGCCCGTTCAAAGCCTGAGGATATTTTCGCGTGGACTTATTACGCTCCTTGTATTCAGGCCCTCTACACCGCAGTATGTGCCGTTGGAGATGGTTATTAGTTCAAGGTGCAACTCCGCTGTCGTAAAATGACAAGTTCTCGCTCGCTCCCCTGGAAGACGACGACACTTTTCGGTCGCTATGCTCTATCTCGACAGCAGCTATAGCATATCTGAAAGCCCAGGCACCACGTCTCGCAGGATTTTATGGGCTCTGGACGACGTCTTAATATACTGGCCGTCAGTCTTGCAGCTAGCCCCTGGAGTGGGGAGGAATGTGACGAGATAAGACCTCGCCTACCCGAAGGCTGCGGCAGAATTGAGCTCTCAATATCTTGTTATTGCGAGCAGCATCTTCTAAACGTCGCCAGCACCTTACCAGTGCGTCGTCAATGTTGAAAAAACAAGGATGCTTGCTCTGAAAGAGAAAAGATCGCTCTGGATCTAGTACCACCGACAGGCCTAGGCGTACAGCCCCAATAACTCCACCATTAACACCGGCAAGGCATCATCACATCGCATAGCCGGGGAGTACAGACCGTCATTTAGTACTGTCGAAGGAACAGCTGGGATCCAATGGTTCCGGGGCTGAAGCTGTCGGCCCAATCCAAGTGCCGAGGAAGGCTTCTCAGGGCAGTGGCTGGTTGGCAGGTGCTATGTCGAGGAAAGGAGGTCGAAGGTATGTATGTGTTTAGGGGCTGGGATTGACGCTTGGACACAGCGAGATCATGCTGCCTGCTTGTTCACTGGGATCATGAATGTTGATCGAGGGAGGGGCGCTATAACGCTTGTACGAAACATCGCACGTCCGCGGCATAAGAGATTGGCCCTGCGCCGTCTCTTTTCGTCTCATGCCAAACACATCATTCAAAGTACGTATCGCTCCTTAGCTCATTCATATTATCTGCCGCACATACTGAGCACGCCCGCTGCGAATTAAAAATTGCAGAGCGGAGCGCCTTCCCAATACAGAACGTGACTTCCTCTTCCAGATGATGAGGCTTTCCCCAGGCTCGCCCGCGCTGTGATTTCCGCAGCCGGTGCTATTACCCATACTTCGGGGTATAGAGATCAGGAAGGCTTGAAGGCTTGCCATTTGTGCCACAAAGGATTGCCAGAGTTCCTGATACTGTTCACAGCCATCTGATCATGTATGTCGGGATTGGGTACTTGCCGTGCTCTAATCGCGGTAAGTATCACGGACTGGCGGTGACGTAGATGTGATGGAAGTCTCATTTCTTTGCAGATCTTAAGCATGACATTCACTCTTCCACTGCCTTAAGGGGTACTCCTTCTGGGCCCTAATACGGCTTCCATCGCAATTCAATCTGGGTCTATTGGCGAGCCACCACTGCTGAGACTTTCGGGTACTCTTCGCAGCCTTCACAGAAAGCCACTGGCGAAATTGTTGCGTGATAGAAGCGGCCATAACATGGATGTTGCGTGATGAAAGCGTCCACAGCATTGTCTCTAGAAGACCCGCCGAGTAGTTTATAAGCCATCCAAGCGATGGCCTACTCTTACCACAGCTCTCTCCTCCTGTCTATTTTGTTCTTGAATATGTCTGCACAGTCGAACCAGGCTCTTGTTCAAGCGTACTCGCAGCTGTGAGTGTTGTCCTTTATCGCACTTGATGGGCCAATGCTCATATTTTCGACTTTCAGCATCGCAGAAAACTACACTACCGCAGCCACCACGTGCAAGTACATCGTCGTCTATTTCCCATTTCACTGCTCACAGTATCTACCATCCAGGCTTAGTCATCTACGAGTTATTGATTACTATCGGTGATGAAGTTAACATCGTCTGGAAAAGACCTGTTACTGCACGCGCTGTACTCCTTGGCTCGGTACGATGGTGTGTACTCGTTTCGATCATCCTGCAACTTGTGCCGTACACCCCGAAAGTGAGCTTGAATGTCGTTGACTGCGTGAATTACTGGACGACACTTACAGAAGTGAGTCCAGTCTCTTTGAAGCCTCTGTGCAATAGATCGCTGACCAGAACATGACAAATAGCTGCACTCCAATTGGTGTCCTGAGCGAGATACTCATCCTCATTGGGTTTGTACAAACTGCAAGTACGCCTCACGCAGCCTGCCTGAGTCCGAGATGCCCACTGACATTGTATACGCTAGTCTTCGCCGCCCTGCGCGTCTATGCAATCTGGAGTAAGAGCTACGTCTGGTCACTGCCGGTGTTTGTGTTGAGCATGGCGCCATTCGTGACGAACTTGGTGCGTGCCACCTTCTCTTGAACTCTATGTGTCCTGGTTGACGCTTCGGTGCAGATTGGCGCGGCGATGTCAAAGTATATCGTCATCGTGTATCCACTCCTCGGCGTGATATGCACGTCGGAATACCCATTTTCCGAGCGAACAACTAACATGTGGGTAAACGCACCTTACCTCTGCTGTTTCGGTATATTAAATCTCCACATAACAGATGTATGTCTTGCAAACGTAGCGTTTACTACGCCAGAAACACTGATGTCGCTCGCCCACAGTCGTTTATACCACCCGCGGCTCACTTATTCTCGCTGACTTGATCGTGCTTGTCCTGACCTGGATCAAGACATTCGGAAATTGGTGGCGCGCTCGTGGTATCGACGTCAAGATGCCGTTGACGGTGTGTTTGCTGCGCGATGGTCAGTGGCCCTTCATGCATCGTCGCATTTGTCTCTGCTAAAATGTAGCTACCGACGCAGGAACGATCTATTTCATGTAAGCACGGCGCCAAAGCCATCTAGCAGAGAGGATTTCTCACGGATTGCAATAAAACAGAGTGCTTCTAGCGGTCAACGTGGCTCAGCTGCTCACCTATAACTCCTCTGCGGTACGTCCACCATATGATTGCGTGGCCGATGGCTGACGTCGTTCTTAAGGGTGCATCGCTGCTATCCGGGTTTATCACGATGCTGGTGCGCTCTCTCCGTGTTGTCCTCTTTGTCGATGTTCATAGACTAGCCACACAGCCTCCGATTCTCATCAATCGTTTCATGATCAACTTGCGGACAGTCGGCACTGAAGCGCCGGATTACTCTGTACACGTCAATGATTGGCAACAGAGACAGCCAGAGCCGCAGCTCAGAAGACCCGTGGACCGGCTGGGCAATATGGATGGGATGCTTCAGAGTGGCTGGGATGACGATGAACCCGGGTACGAAGAGGATAGCTCCGCAGAAGTTGGCGAGACAAGCCATGGCGAGGCCAGTGCAGAAGCATGAACTGACGCCAAATATTACCATGAAGTATGGTCTATGTCACGTAGATAGTAGCATTCGTAACTTACGCGACTCGAAACTTATGACCTTGGATGATTTTAATTGAGCGGTATGTCTCGAGCCACCCGCCTTCAGCTTGTGTCATTGGATGTATTTGCCGCTCACTTCCTCGATACTTGTCAAGGCACTGGTTCCCCTGACCAACAGCTAAGGATTCGTCGATATCACTCATCGTATTATGGGTCACTACGAATTCTAGCCAGGAAATCTTGGAACGGCGTTCCGCCTCCATTTACCATCATGGCTGATCCACAGGATTTAGAGGAGTCAGGGGCGGCTGACGAGGTTGGCTGAATTAAAATAGTGGTCAGCTGAGGCAAGGTACTTGGTCAGAGCGTGCCTGCAAATGCCGACCGGGGCAGCAACGACAGATGGCTCAGCATCTTCTTCTCCAGTTTGCGCACTAATAACGTTGAGCAGGCTATACGGCACACATGCATATTCGAACCCAGCTGTGAGTCGAGCTAGTAGTGGCCACCGATGTCATACCGGGAAGACGGTTCGGCAAGGCAAACTGCACGCTTGGATATCAGGCCCAGCAGCGATTTCACCAAGTTTGATATGGCATCGAGCACCCGCCTTACAGTATGCGGAGATGAGGTGGATCGAGCGTTCATCCCGACTGCGATTGGGCGCTCCGGTACCGAGATTCCGATGCGAGGACGCCGACGCACTGTCCAGTTCGGGGTATGATGGTAACGTGCATTGCTATCCTACTTAGCAGAATTAATCTATCAGGATGTGAGGTATGTTATGTGTCGTGTGTGATAGGAGACGGGCAGGATGTGTGGAGAAGCGAGAAAGATGGTATGTATGACGAGACCAAGGCCACAAACCCGGGATGACACCACAAGATGAGACGACAAGATCTGGCCACCTAGAGCTTCGAAAGGAGTAGCCCGATGACCACGATAAGGATTGTCGAGGGCGGGGTGATAACGCAATATGACCAGAAGATTGTGCGGCTGATCAGACGTTCGAAGGCGTCGCCGGAGGCTGCCTGTGTGATCTGCGACGCGGGTCTGTAAGTACACACACGCCATACGTATGGCAGATAACTTACTTGAGCAAGCGTAAGAGCTGGGGGAGATGCAATGAGAAGGACATTCGAGACGACGAACACGGGGCTGAACGAAGTGCTTGTTAGCATCGCATCATGCTCGGTACGCGACAAGGACTCACTCGTCGAAAACCTTCTGCAGGTTGAACCTCGTCGAAAGCGCCAGAACCGGCAGCAACAGCAGAGGCGTAATGATCATACGAGACAGCACCGCGATGACAACCGTCTTCGTCTCTCCCGGACGCTTCTCTGGCTTCGAAGACGGGCCCTCGCTCGGAGAGCGCTTGTTCATTTTGAACATTTCCCGGACGTTGTCGACCAACGAGAGCTGCGACCAGGTCGTGCTAGCACTGCGCCCGCGCCCGCCACCATGCTGAGGAAGGGCGGCACGGCGGCGGGCCTCCTGAGGGTCTGGCGGGCTGTAGAAGTACGCGCCAAGGACGACGAGCGTCAGCGGGATGGAGCAGTTGCCGGCCTGGGACAGCGCGCCCTTGATAGGCTGCACGTGTTCCTCGAGCGTGTGCTGGAGCGGCGGAACGCAGGCGACGATAAGCGAAAGCAGAGCGGCCCAGAGCGGCACGGTCATGAATCCATATAAAGACTTCCAAGTCTTGGCGATGCGCCGCCACATGCGCCGCCGCCGTGATTGCCAGACAGAGGAAGTGGGCTCCGTGACATGCCGTCTGCCAGAGAACTCGAGGACGTCGTCACCGTCCACCTCTGTTTGATCCTCAGACGAGACGGAAGCACGCGACTTGCTGTACGGAGAGTTCGGGAAGGAGTAGAAGAATTGACGGTTCGAGCCCGTTCTGTCGGCATCTTCCACACGGATGCTTGGGTTCTCAACGTCGGTCCGACTGTTCGAATCATCGGACTGGACCTGGTCTCGATGCAAGATACGGTACTCCTCGGACGAGGGTGGGAATGCCGTCTCTTCTTGGGCTAGCAGGGGGCTCTCACGTCCGCCTGCCTCAGGCTCAGGGGCAGTTTCTGGATCTGCTTGTGATAGCAGGCGTACTCCATAGCTCCAACGGACCTGTGAGGAGATAAGCTAAATTTCCGCTTCCATCAAAGTATGAACGCCCATCAAACTTACCACCATGCCAAGAGTCGAATAAAGTACGAGGTAGGTGAGGGCTCGCCCAACCATGGCGTCCTCGTTGTCGTCATCGCCCCATTTGAGTCCCGGAACGGTGATAACCAGACTCTGCATAAGGGCGATGGGCAACGAGTTCGAATTCATGAACATGGCAGCCGCCACAGCGAAACTCCTGCGGTGGCGGCGTGAGGCGGACACGCGGAGAGCGCGGAGAACAAAACATACCTCTGGGAACGTTTAAGACGGAAGGTGAACCCCAGCACCCATGCCACAGTCATCGATATTGCCGTTGTGACCACGAAGAATATTGGTATGATCCATAGCTCTCTGAGCTTCGCTGGGTGAATATGACTGTTGAGCATGGCACTACATAGCGGCAGATGGGAAGGAAGACTAACATGGTGAAAGGAAGAAGGCAACTTTGGAGAATAGAAGAGATGGCGTGAATAGGGATACATTGAGCCTGTTTAGTTGCTGCGAGCCGTCAGTCCTGACGCGACGTAAATGAACGGTAGAGACGTACCTTTTGTGTCGCTCGGTCCAGAACGCCCCTCCTAGCAAGGATATAACCTGCAAGACATAGGAGGAATACCTCCAATATTGACTGCGGGGGGAGAGCACGTAAGCACGCCGTCCCAGTCACCACTATGTGAACCCACTAGGCCCTCGTCTTATGGACATGTATGCAAAGATGCTCCGAGATCGCAGGGACGCGGGATACCAGCTCCGCCGTCTGGCTTTGGTCGATGGGACCGGTATATACCAACAAGATGTGGACAAATTCCAAGGCGTAGTGAAGGAGGTGTACTGTGATAAATTATGGAAGGGACAGCGTAAGGTATAAAGTTCTGTCGACTTTGATCTTTTCAGGACTGATCTTGGCTGTGGCTGGTAGGCTTAGTAACTCGCAGCCTGCGACGGGTATGATATCGAGTATGCCGAAATTTAAAGGACCTGAACCGAAGCACGATTGCATGATCGCGGGTGTGGGTTACGTTCTAGATAAAAGGATGCGAGCGTGAACGAGGTAACAAGACGATGATATCGATACATACAGAACAACCACGAGATTGTTCCAGAGCCTGACTTTGGCGTGCGTGCGTTTGGCAGGTAATTCTGATACACGAGGCCTCTTCGTAACATGCCCTGCCGGTCCGCTGCGACACGCTGAGTCTGCTGTATACGCCTTCTTTACATTGTTCACGAATCTGCAACTTGTTTTGAGCTCCTACAAGGAGCACACCCTCAAACAACTTGCTGCGATCACCACACAACGTGCCGAGACTCCACCTCTATGTTGTCCACAGAAGATCGCAGTCGCGCCGTTACGATATAGCTCATCTGAAATAGATAATATTCTTCTTCTGATGTCGCCTACGGGTCGTTGAAAGATTTTGAGCACCTCGGGTCACTGCCAAGGCCGGCTTGCTCCGACAACTCTATCATTACAAGTGATAAATTCATGCTGGAGAGGGTGTAGACTGTTCAAAGGTATTAGTATTGTCTCTTGTTCTAGCTACTCCTCCGCCAGAGGTGCTACTCCATCCAAGCACTTGGCAGAATCTCACCAAGGGAGTTTATGGCGTGAGAATCCTTATCGCCTCTGCCGGCGGCTTGCGGGCGGCGGACGCACGTGGTTCGCGGGGCCGGTAACGAAATTGGTGACGCCAGCGACAAACCATAATCTGAAATCTCGCATGCCCAAGCGCTTTACTTGGAACCACTGCCCCCAACCTGAGGAGCCTGGGCTCGCTCTCCCCCCTCTGTCCTCCACCTTGTACTCCTACCCCCACGACCGCGACGCACACGACCTCCCAGACGCCTTCATTGATGAGAGCAAATCCTATAGGCCCGCTTCTGCAGACCGTCTTTGAGGTGAGCCGCACACGTTTGTCAAGCACGGGCCATCATCTAATAAGTACAGCCTATGAAGGGAGAGCACCTGCAGCTCTGGAAACATGTATACCGGCAAGTCACAATGCAGCGGACGGAGCGCGTCGGTTGTCGTTGATGCGGTAGCGAGCGACTCGATGAGGAACGTGTGGTCTGTCTCACGGCCAGCGACACCGAGCTCGCAGATATGGGGCATGCTCTCGTATATGTTCTGCCAAGGGCAGTTGTTCATCCATTCCATGTCGATGTAGGCTGATCTCACCTCCGCCAAGGGGAGAGAGCGACAGAACATTTCGAAGAGCGTTGGGCAGCTGTCGGGCATCAAGGCTGGCGCACGCACTGCGAGGGCACGACGATCGTGGTGAAATGGCCTGGATGCGGCGGTACGGTCGAGGTACGGTGAAAACAAATTGTCAAGTTCTTGATTCCTGGTCCAAGCTTTGGCGGCGTGGCGAGAATGAGAAAGCGACCGCAGAGGTCGCATAACATCCTTCGAATGGGCATCTGATGCAAACAAGGATGCGAGCAAACGCATGCTCTGTTCCATGTTCTCGCGGTCAAGTTGAAAATTGGAGAATTCGATCGAGATATCGATGTCTTTGGAGAACGAGATATGTTCGAGGAAGTAGCGTATAATCGATGCACGTTCCTTAACTCTCAGGAAGCACAGCTGAGGAAAACGAACGTGTACGTTCGCTCCAATGCCAGCTGTGCCGGAATCAGGTAGAGCATCCGCGAGTTCGAGCGATTGTAATTGAGGCATGGTCTGTAGAAGGCCGAGTACCTCGAGCATACTGATGTCGATGGGCCGAGGGCCTTCATAGTACACACAGAATTTCAAATGTGTCAGAGTGGGTCGGAAGAGTCTGCTTGTCCACGAGACTGGTATACAGACGATCTCCAAATGCGTCAAGAGCGGAGCCTCGATGTTGTCGAAGGGAGTAGCAGATGGCCCATGTCCACGGACCTCACGATCACAAAGGGCGACCGAACGCAGGAAAGGTGCAACTCTGGGGAGATCAGGGGCGTTAATCTCGTAGTAGAGGCTCCAGTCTATAGAGCGCAAGCGATGCAATTGGCGGAGGAGGACAATGATGTCTTTTTTATCAGCTGCACGATAGTCGGAGGTGGCGACGTCCAACGCAGATTGCTCGGAACGGAGCAGCAGCTCTCGTGTCCACTTGTACGTGTGCGGCATAATCTGGCCCCAAAGTGCCGGATAGTTGAGCGCAGCTTCGCGCCAGCGATAGCAGACGCGCGAAACTTCAATCCAGGTGCGATCTCCCACGCGCCAATCAGCAGACCGATGCATAAACACCTCGCAGAGCAACTCGGAGGGCAGCTTTCCGATTGGTCTAAGCTCGTTGAGACGCCGCTTCGCTGCCGCGATCTGTCTCTCCCATGTAGCTATGGACGCCAGGAGCTGTGTCTGTTCTGCATCCTCGAGTTCGGTCATCTCTGTGATAGGGTTTGTAAGGATCAAGTACAACGACCTTAGTTTACACACCGATATCACTGAAGATGTTTTAAGAAAAGAGACAAGCTGCGTTGTAAAGCGTAAGAGTGGGAGCAAACCAGAAGTCACGCTCGTGAGCGCTTGATCCCCAGCGCCATATTCGGGAACTTCCGAGAGGGGCGCGTCATTTGACGCGCTTCCCGGGTCAACCGAGGGAGTGGTTTGCCTCCTATTCTCATCCGACACCCCTTTGTCCTCACTCGCCGGTGGCGTCGCCAAGTCAGCGCTCGCTCAGCGTCCCTGTCTCGCTTCCCAGCTGCGCATTGATCAATGGCCGCAGTATCTCGGAGGACACGCTCGTGAAACCGTTCCGTAGCATGATACGCTGGCGCCAGCAAAGGCACCAAACGGCTTTTCGCGGAAATGTTCACAGGCGTGCGACAGACTCGTGCCGGTCCGCCGTTTCCCCGTCGGCATCAAACTACATGCTGTGGTGTAAGCCGTAGATCCCACATTTCCCCCCTGACGTCCACTGCATTCGACCTCACAGCGTCCTGCCACTCTCCGGATGCCATGTCGAACTCAGTCCCTAGCCCTGAGATTATCCCCCTCGCCGTGCTGTGCGGAGGCCTCGTCATCGGCGGATTTGCTGCAGTCCTCATAACACGCAAGATCGCGAGACAGCGGCTACTGCTGGAGCTGCGGTCGGCTGCGGAAGCGAGGATAGTAGAGGATCGACTTGGAGAGAAGCCAGTCCTGGTGGATATCTATGTTGGGCCCTCGCCAGACGAGTCGTCTGGAGATCTGCACTGGACGATCGTCCAGGTACGTGCGACATTATCCTCACGCGACGTCTGCTGAGAGCTTCTCTGCGCGTGCTCAGCCCATATCCACAACCTTCAACGCTCAAGTATCGTCGCCGCATCCACACCACACCATCGAGAAGCGTCCCGGCTACCTCCGGACTCCCCTGGTGGACGGAAATGTCCTACAGGTGTCCATGGGGATTTCTATGCCAACGCCACCGTTCCCTAATGGAACAGAAGCGTTCTTGGAATCGTGCGAATACTGCATTGGCACGTCAGACGTTGTTCTCTGCACCTTGTTGGGAGCGAGGCAACGTCTCGTTGGGATAAATTGACTGAAGCACCTGGCAGCCGACGATGACGGGCATTGATCACTCCTCATTTTATACTTACAAACTCTATCCACCCGATCTTCCACCAGAACCTATATAGTGTCATTGTATACATTATATATTGTATGATAGATATATCGCTGTTGTACCGCGACCCAATGTAATTACCGCTGGGGAGAATAACATCCTGCTAGCAATATTACGCAAATTAACTTAGCTGATGTCCGTGTGAGTGCTCAACATGCCTGTCGAGGCCTCGAGGGTTTGGAGCTGCCCTCGGACTTCGAGCTTGAGCTTGAAGTCTCCACGGCGCTTGGGTGATCCGTGTGCCGTCGGCTTGATGGCGCTCCGCTATGACATACCGTTGGAGCCGGCAGGCGTTGTGGGGCTGCGAGGCCCGATGTGTCGTGCCGATTGTCGGTGGGTACTGGAACACGGTCGCCACAAAGAGTGGGGTCGTCTAAAACTGGTAGGAGCGCGTTGCGTCCAGCCCTACAGCGTCCGTGCCAGGGCTGACGTCCTCTGGCACGCACTCTGTGAAGAAGCCTGCGTGATCGCAGGCAAAAACTCAAACCTGAGCTCTCCGGCGCGTCAGCAGCCCTGGTAGGAACGAAACGCGCCAAAGTCTGGGACGACGACCGGTTGATCGTGAGTACATACCCCCCTCGACGCGCATGTGGCAGTTGGAGGCTGTTGGTGACCATTGTTTGCGCGGGTGGGGTTCTGCCCCGCTCGACTATAGAATTGCGCCTGTGTTCGCTCCACAGCGCCTTCTGTGCGCAACGCCCCGTCGGTGGCCACTTCGCGAAGCGAGCAGGAAGAGCGTACCACGGAGGTGGCCTTCGCTGATGCCCCACTCCACAGCCGAGCTGCTCGTCTCTCATATAAGAGGCAGCGCGAAGGGAAGGCAGTCCGCCACCACACGCTTTTCGCGTTCCATAGATGCGCAGACGTACGAGCCCAGGAAGCTTCGCGCGTCGTGCACGCATGAACGTCGTGGCGGGAAGCCGACCTGCGAATTTCCAAGCGCGTGTTTCGGCGGGGATCCCCGTCTAGCAGCAGCACTGCGCCATCTCGTCAAGACACCGCCATATCGATTTCTCGATCGTTCGCCGTATTTCCTCGAGCTATCACAGCCTAGTCGGCCTCGTGGCACGATGACGACGCGAGGAAGGAAAGAAATCAAACTCTGAAGAGCAAAACGGCTGCACAGGGTCTCATTTTTCCATGGGCCATTTGATGCAGCAAGCGGCCGCACCGCGTGGTATGTTCCGGGGCAACACAGCAGATGCGCAACACACGCGCATAGCCAATGGCAGATCAGCAATCGGGGGGGCTGTCGTTAGCCCGCCGGGGGACGTCTGTGTCCGATGACATCAGGGCTCAGCAAGCTTGTGGCAACGCGGCGACGTTCGTCAGTGCGGGGTAATTTCAGACATCCTCGAAGCCGTGTCGCACCAAAGCGTCAGGCCGCTATTTAACCTGCTGCCCGCCAGAACATCGACTCGCCGAACATTCTACGCTTACTATTTCGGGCTTGACTTTGTACTCGACTTATTGGTAGCAGCTCATGCTGTCGTACCGCAAGGTAGGTGTCTCCGGCCTGTGAACCACCGCCGGCATGGTGCTGACGCGTTCCGGTAAGAAGTACTCACTGTCATGACCAACCACTTATGGCTGGTATGGTACCGCGCGCAGAGCCCCTTGGGGCCGAAGCACTGGTCGTTGTTTGTAACTTACGACACGGACGAAGAGGCACCAGGAACTATCTACCAAGTAAGCAGCATCCTCCGTCCTCTTACGCGTCGGCGAAGTTGGTACTGAGCGACTGGGGCACAGATCGAGGGCAACGGCTGGGGCACAGGGCAGTTCTTCTTCCGCGTCTGCCGGGGCATCCAGCTCAAGGGTGCGCGTGGCAGCCAGGCGTATGAGGGCCGACTGTACCTCGGGGACATACGCGACGGCGTGAACGGCATGATGCAGGAGTACTGTGAGGCCGCGGCGGAGATGATCAACGAGCATAACACGGCTCATGTGGTCGGCGAGTTTAACTGTCAGGACTGGTGCATCATTGTCATCAAGAGCTTGGAGGATGGCCGGTTCATCCCGGGAGGAGCGAATGCGAGAGCGGCGGCTTGTCCGCGACGGTAGCATTCTAGTATTGAATCTGGCGCTTCGCACAGTTTTCGCGGGGTTCTCGGGGCAAGGAGTTTCTCTGTCACGTTGGATTTGTAGCAGTAGAGCTCGGTTACTTTTATACCCTAACTCGCCTAATATATTCTATGCTTCGGATACCTCTGGGCCTTTGAGGGCGGCCTATATCCGTGATCATGGGAAGCAGATCGCCAGGTACATAGAGCCCAGGCCCGCGACCTGGGTCGATGATACACACGGCCTCACAATCACTTACAGACGAGCTGATAAGCTTGCCTTGGCGGTGTCTGCAGCGGAATGCGGAATGCTCGGCGCGCTCTCTCTCTGGCGCGGGGCCCTGAAGCTGAAGGGGAGCATGTGTAGAGGGGCTTTGAAATTTCGCTACACGGATCTGGCGGGGCGTTTCTACTGATGCCTGTGACCAGGCAACGATGGATAGATGGCCACCGCGTTCAATACAGAAGCACGGGGAAGCTGGTTCTGGCGTCTGTATCAGGCAAGCCGCTGGACGGCCTTCCGGCTGTACGAGGGCTGCAGTGGCTCATTGAAAGCCAGTGCTACCTCTCGAGCGACGATGGCGGTGATAGACAGAGCCTAGCTCGTTGCCTACATTGCACGAGCACAACCGCAGGGAACAAAGGCGTGCCGGGCGTTCAATCGGAGAAGCGCGAAGGATTGGACGCTAGCTCACACGGCGTCCTGTATCGGAAGCTACTCACGAGTTCATCAGCGACCTAACCTCGCAGCGGTCTTTTATCAGCAGGGCCGATGCTGGTCGCGTTCGCGCTCGGTGGTGGCACTGGAGGCGCGGGGAGCGCCCGCAGCTTTGTTTGGGCAGCACGTGCCTGTTTTCTCACTGCCGCATCAAACTCTTCCGCACTGCTCAGCTCTGTCCGCCAACTCACCGACAGTCGAGACCTGTGGCATTGTCGGGAGGATACCCAAGCCCTGGTGCGTGGGATAGCAGCTTACTCGGATTGCCCAAATCAAGAAGGAGGTGAAGCGAGCGCAAGTCTGAGCGGCGACCTTTCGGACGGTCATTATCTGAGTCGGAGTGAGCACCTCTTCTCGTTCTCCGCCACTACTCCGAGTCCTCATCCATTCCTCCTCGTTCGCTCACTCGCTCCCCTGCATCCACTGCGCCATCGCTATGTCTCTAGGTCTCGCCTCGAAATACGTCTTCCGCGCCCCCCAAGGCCCCAACATTTCGCCCCTTTTTCCCCGCAGCCCGACAGGTCATGGCTAGCGAGGGCGCAAGGTCACCGCCAGAGCAGCCCACCCATCCCCAGCCTCCTCAAGCCATCGCTCCCTACCCGCCTCCGTACAGTGCCCATTATGCGCCGTTGCCCCCGGGCGCATACCCGCCGCCGTTCTACGCGTTTGCCCCCATCCCCGACGCCAACCATGACCTCAACGGCGCCGCGAATGGTGCCCCTCCCCCACAGCAGTACATTATGATTCCGCCGCACCCTGGCATGATGCCTGGCATGGTGTACGCCTATGCACCGCCGCCGCCAGGCCAAGGTTTGATTAAATTCGCGCACCTGACACTTGCCCGCGCTGATTCACTCATCCGCCAGTGCTTCCCTACCCGCCGTATCCTGCGCCTCCGCAAGTTTCTACCGTAGCGTCACGCCCCAAGCGCAAGCAAGTCAAGATGGCGGTGAGTCAGCGCGCTCGTCCATAGCCATTCGTCCATACCCATGACAACGGCAGTGCACGAACTGCGCCGCCGCCTGCAAACGCTGCGACGACAGCAGGCCCTGCGAGCGCTGCCAAAAGTACGGTCTGGCAGACAGCTGCGTCGACGGGCAGAGGAAGGAGCGCAAGAAAGGAATCAAGCGAGGACCTTATAAGCGCAAGGCCAAGCCGGCCAATGGCGAAGGTGCAGATTCTGGTAGCTCGTATAGAACGTGTATTGACGTCCGTGATTGACAACTTACGGCAGGCATCCCCGCTAGCCCTAGTGCCGCTGGAGAAGGAGAAGCCAGTGCGGTCTCAGCACCATACGCGGCACCACCGCCACCTGAGGCTTACTACCCCTATTACTATCCCCACGCAGCCTTCGCTCCCCCGCCTCACGATGGCCCATCTCACGGCGAAGGTTCTACGAACGGCAACACGCACCCGATGCACCAGACCTACTTCCCTCTGCACCCTGCGGTCTACCCGCAGTACACTCCGTACGCGCACGCGCCGCCGGTCCCCTACGCAGCCCCGCCCGCCGTCATCTCGCCCCCGCCCGCAGACGCAAACACGAAGTCGCCCCGGGCTGGCCACGAGAGCGGCGCCGAGTCCGTCAGCAAGGGCAAGAAGAAGGCGCGTGCGAAGACCGGCGAGAGTCCGGCGAAAGGGAAGACGGCTACGAACGAGGCCAACGGGACAAACGGAACCAATGGAACCAACGGCGTCGAGGCACACGGCAATGCGACCAACGGATTTCAAACCACCGCGGGCCAGCCGTCCTACGACCTCCCTGGCGCGGGCTCTGGGAATGATGGGCACATGGTACCCTCTGTCTAGATACTCTCATGACAGGGTATTTTATGTAAGACACTATTAAGTTAATATAATAACACCAGAAATGTCTAATAAGCTTCCCGGCTAGAAATTGCAGGCCCACTTCGTCCCTGGTATACCCTTCATCGTCTCATTGTCGCCACGCGCAGACGTCCGTGGCATCGTGCTTCCATTGGACCGTCACCCGCCAAACGTCTGCCCGGTTTCTCGTCTCGTGTTCCGTTATCTTTCTCATCGCGTCGTCTCTTGCTTCTTCATCCCCCACCTCCGACGCTATCCGCTGTGCTTTTTGGCCACAAACAGGGACCTCAGTTGCTGTTTGCGTGCCCAATGGCCACGGATATCGTGTGGACCGTTCTGCTGTAGCAAGCGGGCTGCATGGACACGCCTCTTGTCTTGTTGGAGTGACATGTTTCATGAATGCTCCATGCCCCTGGCTTGCGACGGCTCCCTAGAATATATCCTGTGCTTCTCTTCGGCTCATATGTCTGATTTTTTCTCGCGCCTGGTGTTCACATGTGAGATTGATCTATGCCCCATCCTTGATTTTCTTCTGTACTTGTCCCCCGCCTCTCGCGCCTGTCAACCGCCTTCCATATGCCTTCCCCTTGATCTGTAACCCCCGAAGTGTCGAATCCTGTGATGTACTATATAGTTTGGAACTGAACGAGGTTATTAACTTGGTCAGGGTGCGTGTGCGCCCATTGGCCGATACCAACGAGACACTGGTCGATGCGCGCGGGAGCGTGAAACGAAGGGCTGGTCTGTTTCACATTGCACCCGTGAAGAGGTGTCGGGTCCGAATGCACGTCGCAAAGGCTATGCATCGAGTATCAGAGACACAGCCAAGACTTTTGGGTTTCGGTACTCTGAGCCACGGCGGGCAGCGGCGGCGGTCGATACTGCGGGGAAGGGCGCTTATCAGTTTACCATCCGAAACAGGAAGGTGTTCTGGTCACGTCAGCGTCGGGGAGCATGCTCGACGGTATGTAAAGCGATATGGGGTCGAATCTACGGAAGGTCGACATACTTGTGTACGGCTAGGGTCAGTAAGGCTGGCAAGACGGGCTCTCTGATGCAACTTCGTTAGGTCCAATGTCGATGTCGAAGCGTAAGCTATCATGCCTGACACCAGAATTCTCTGCTGATGGCCGCCGCCGAGGGCGACAGCAGGGCCTCTCTGTCTCACCATTGGCCTGCTTGTTGCGTCATGGCAAAACGGCCCCTTTAGCAGTACGGTTGTCTGCGCTGGTAGCAGCTGGTGAAGGTGCTTGGCACTCTGTGTGCGCCTTGAGTGCGATCTACTCGACCGTCTGCACCACCCTGATGTTTTTCTTACAGCGGCACATTTCTCGCAGTCGAGGACGCGCAAATGATGACCTTTAACATGGTAAATTTGACTGAGGAGCGTTTTCCGTCGTAATTACCGCAGCCGGTATCTACAGGTCGCATCCCAGAAACTGTAGCGCCTCCCAGTATCGTGTGCAACATCAGCGTGCCCTTAAATCATCACCCTCAACGACAACGAGACAGGCCGACTCGGAAGTTTGCCGTTGAACCCTTCGGCGATCTCCACCATCGTGAGGACATGAAAGACGTGAGTGGGATGTATCTAATAGTAACACCGTGACTGATTTGAGGGTAGGCGATCTGAGATGCTGCCACTTCACCGAAGCGTTCCGATACCATAATTCTACTTCACGAAACGACACAGTCAGAGACGGTCAGGCACTGTCCCGTGTGCGCAGTTCAGCTTTCCGTGTAGCTCTCTCGAGGATCCGCATCGTCCCCTTCTGCTGAGCCATTCCCTTGGAATCCGTCACTCCAGCCATCCTGCAACGACTCCCCAATATTCCCCAGGAAATTCCGAGTCGTCGGCCCTCTTTGAAATTGCAATGTCGACAGTCCACGCTGTTCATCACCACCGTAAGAGGACCCCGACGCCTCGGAATCGGCCGTACGTAGGTTGATTATGAAGCGATTGATGAGCACCGAGGGCTGCGTACACAGCTCATGAGCATTGGGGCTTGAGAGGACGAACAGAAAATAGGGACATACGAGGGTAGCAACGAACGGAGTTAGGGGCACCACATCCTTTGTACGACATTAGCCATCCATCCATGTTCTCATGTTTGAGACATACCCCAGAAGAATTAGCGGTCAGCAGCTGAGCGATGTTTATCGCTAGTAAGACTCTGAAATTGTTTTCTTCTGTAAACGACCCCATTGGACGGGTGACTTTCTTATTGCACTCACAAGAAGTAGATGGTCCCTGCGTGGGCAGCAAGATTTCAGCAACGATGAGTGCAATGGTGCATGAAAAGACACTGACCGTCGCGCAGCAGACACGTCGTCAGCGACGTTCCGACGTTAGCACGGCGCGCTTGCCTCCAGAATCCGAACGTCTTGATCCAGGTCAAGGTGAGCACTATCACGTCGGCGAGGATGAGCGAGCCGCGGGTAATGTACACAACTGTGAGTAGGCGATGTCAGCGTCCTGGGCACATTGAAAGGCATTCAAGTTGACGACATGACTTACGTCTGTATAGAAAAACTTCAGTATCCCGAGACTGCAGCAGAAAGATTTGTGCGCATACATGCTGAATGTCCGTGCAGAGAACGGCGTCTCCAAGGTGCATGTTGGACCGACAAGGGGCTCCACGATGTACCCGTATTTCGATGTCGCATAGTACGTCTGCACACAAGCGTCAATAAAAAACGACGGCCACACGGAGCTCCAGTAGAGGTGACACGCACCAAGTTTATCCCGAATGGTACCATGTTTAGTGCGAACACAGGCAACGACCAGACATAGCTCCTGTTACAAATCGCGAAAACGCGCAAAGCGGCAAAAACTTTCGTGTAAAAGTCGGTGAGCTCGTGGAATTCAATCAGACGCTCAATGCTTACGGGCGGTCTGGAAGAACCCGACGAGGGCGAGTACGTAGTCCACAATACCGAGTGGTTTACAGCTATGCGATAGACTTCCGTAAGCGTCCAGTTGCTCACGGGATTCAAAGGAGCATACCCCTGTGGGAGCACAGTTGGATAAATTGCATAGCTGAAGACTCAGATATTTAAAGCTTACATTAGGAATTGGTGGCACGAGTTCCACGAT